CTAAAGAGATCATACAAATGGGAAAAGGACCCACATGTACAAAAATATGTATAGCAGCTCATTTTGTGGTGGCAAAGAATTGGAAATAGAGAGGACGTCCATCAATTGGGGAATGGCTGAACAAGTTGTGGTGTATGAATGTGATGGAATATCATTGTGATGAGCAGGCAGACTTCAGAAAAACCTGGAAAGACTTGTATGGTCTGATGCTGAGTGAGGTGAGCAGAATCAGGAGAACGTTGTGCACAGGAACAGCCACGTTGTGCAATGACTGATATTGACAGACTTCGCCCTTCTCAGCAATATAAGGAACTAAGGTGTCTCCAAAGGCCTCGTGATGGAAAATGCTGTCCACAGCCAAAGAAAGACCTGTGGAGTTTGAATGCAGGTCCAAGTATACTAATTGCTATTTTTTCCCTCTTCTGTTGAGTTTTGTTTCTTCCTTCTGGTGGTTCCTCCTAATTCCTTCTAATTCCTACTTACAACATCACTAACGTGAAAATATGTTTAATAGGAATGTATATGTATAGCCTATATCAGATTGTGCACCATCTTAGAAAGGGTGGTGGGGAGGAAGGGGGAGAAAAATTTTAAACTCAAAATCATATAAAGTGATTGTTGATAAATCAAAATAAATTAATAAAGATAAATAAATAAATGAATTTTTAAAAAAAGAAAAGAAAAAATGTGTATGTTGAGCCTGTATTGGATTGCATGCTGTCTTGGGGAGGGGGAAGGGGAGAGAAGTAGAGGAAATTTAAAACTCAAAAGCTTATGGAAGTGAATGTTGTGAACTAAATTAGTTTTAAAAAAAAAGAATGATACAATTCAGTTCCTCCCTTCTTATGTCCTTGGTCATAGGACAAGCTTCTCCCAGTTTGAATATAAACAGCTATCCATACATAAAGTATATGGACAGTCTAAAAACTGTGATTCTCAGTACCCTCTGTACCCTTTTCTGCCATCGTATTACAGAAGTGGAAAGGGGTTTCACAAGAGGTCCATTTTGTATTTTTCTTTTATTCATGGGTTGATATGGCCAAAGAATTCATTATCAACTGGCCAGACTACCTCATGAGTTTCTCTAAACTTAGGTAATTTCTCAGAAGGCAAACTTATTCTCTCTCTCTCTCTCTCTCTCTCTCTCTCTCTCTCTCTCTCTCTCTCTCTCTCTCTCTCTCTCTCGCTTTTTGGTGAGGCGATCGGGGTTAAGTGACTTGCCCAGGGTCACACAGCTAGCAAGTGTTAAGTGTCTGAGGCTGGATTTGAACTCAGGACCTCCTGACTCCAAGGCCAGAGCTCTATTAACTGCACCACCTAGCTGCCCCAAAGGCAGACTTATTCTCCTGCTGAGACTATACTCAAAGATTTTCCAGTATGCAAGAAACATAGCTTGTATATAGCCTTCCAGAATCCAGGATCACTACCACAGCATGATGAGGCATCAGCAAAGGACTTTGTGAAAAGCTTCAAAAAATAAATGTTTATTAATATATCATTTTTAGGTAATTTACATTTCCCAATATATCTCTACCTCCTAGAGGGCATTCCTTATAACAATTTAAAAAAGAAAAACCAGTTATCAAAACTAACCAACACATTGAAAAAGTCTGATATAAATGCAATATTCAATACCCAAATGTTCCCACTTTTGCAAAAAAGGTGGGAAAATGCCTTTTCATGTCTCTTCTTTGGGGCCAATCTTGGTCATTATAATTTGTGAAGGACTTTTAATCAGTATAAAGCAATTGCTACAACAAAGAGGTCAGAAATACCTTGGAATTTGCCTCTGTTAGCAAACCTTGCCAAGCAGAGAGATACAGCAGCAGTGAGCAATAGTGATTTAGAATGTAAACTCCTTTGCAAAATCTTTTGGGGCAGGATAATAGAAACTTAGGAACAGTATCACCACATAAAACATTGGAAAGTTATAGAGGGGAAAAATTACTTTACAGAAAGCTTGGTGAGAGGCCCAATTAATTCAGATTATCCTGAGAACTTTTCCATTTGATGGCAAAACTATGAAAAGAGAATAACAAATGGACAAAAATGGAAGACATGTCAAAATAAAAATGGTTGTCAGACAAACATAGGCAAGAACAGCTCGATAAAATCCGATCTGTTCAGAGGAGATCTATACTGGAGGCTTTGAGAGTGCTGACGGAGGCTTTGAGAGTGCTGACGGAGCCTTTCTCAAATGATTTGAAAGAAGGGAAGATGTCCAGCAACTGCAAAAATCACAGATATTATTACCACCAAAAAATGATCTAATCAATCAATAAATCAAAATTCATCCATTAAGTTCTTCCCCAGATAAGCCCATTACTTCTAATCTCATCATCATGCTAGTAACTGTAGCCTTGACTGACACTATCTCCCTCAGCATCCTTTCCCCTCTGATTGAAGGGCTTTGCCTTCCTTTGTAGAGGGCAGAAATTGCATTTTCAACTCACTCCACTGTGCACCTGCTGCTCTACCTAATTTCATCTCCATAGAACAAGATTCTTCTCTCTTTCACCTATCCCACTTTGCCTTCTTAAGGGCAAAGGGCAGGGACTGTCTTTGTTAATAGTATCCCCAGCACTTAGCACAATGTCTGGCAGCAAATAGGTGTTTAAAAAATGTTTATTGGATTGGATTGGATTACCATATGCTAGGTGATAGAAGTGAGTACATTAGCATCTTCCAAAGATAAAGATAGTAATCCATTTATTCCTTTTTTTTTTTTTGGCTAGGCAATGGGGTTAAGTGATTTGCCCAGGGTCACATAGCTAGTAACTGTTATGTGTCTGAGGCCAGATTTTTGAACTCAGGTCCTCCTGACTCCAGGATTGGTGCTCTATCCACTGCACCACCTAACTGCCCCTCATATACTCCTCCTCATCCCATAGGACTCTTGTCCATTCCTCTAACTAATCTGGTCAAATTTCTTGGGGCTTTACTTTTGTACTCTCATGACTACCAATGTTTGGAAGCACAGGCTCTTGCTGTGTGACCAGCCCATCTATTTTCTGGTCATAGATTTCTCTTTTGATATCCTTTACACTGGTTCTCCAATTAGATGGTATAGTGGATAGGACTCTAGGCCTGGAGACAGGAAGACCTGAGTTGAAATCTACCTTTGCTTACTCAGACTCTGGGCAAATCACTTGACCCTGGAGTGCCTCAGTTTCTTCAACTGTAAAATTAGGATAACAATAACACCTATATCACAGGGGTTGTTGTGAGGATCAAATGAGAATATTTAGGAAGCACTTAGCACATAGTAGGTACTTAATAAATGCTTATTCCCTTCTCTTCCCTTCTACAGCTGTTTCATAATTTCTTGATATCTGAGAGCCGCTGAATAAAGTTGTCTCTGTTTTTGCCTCTTTCAAGGAATCTTGTAGAATCTTAACATATGCATGGGAGTATAAATCAGCTTGCCCCCTCCCCAGACCAGCTTGAGCCTCCCTCACCTGAGAAAGGCCTAAAACCTAGACTGGCCAAACAGAAGAAACACCTTTTTGTGTCACTCTGGGCTTTGCATGCTCTGGCATAACACACATACTTTGCTTTGCTCTCTGAGTGAACCCAAAATGCCCCTTCCTGTGTCAGTAACTACAAGGCCAGATGAAGTTGACCAGGAGCATTCTTCTGTTTATGACTGACAAGGACCAGGTGCCTTGAACAGTACACTGTCTTGAATAATGGGTTTTTTCTTATCTTGGTATTTTATGGACACTGTTATGTTATGTCATGTTAATGATAGAAGAAACACAGACATCCAGGAACTATAATTTCAATTGACACTTTGGCATCTCTCGTATCTTATTGTATTTATGAATCCTATTAAGAAAATTCCTTTCTTATATTATGGTAAACACATATGGAGACTATAGTTTTGGCTGACACAGGCATCTTGAGTTGGAATGGCTCTGAGGATATAAGGTCCTCCTCAGCTGGCCTTTCTTGAGGTCACTTCGAATGACTTCCATGCACGGAAGCATAGTCACTTGATTTGAGAGAAATAAACATGCGCATCCAACCTAATTCTGTTTGTTTTTTGATCAAGCCTCTGGTTAAGGGGGAACCCCAATTCTGTTTGTTCTTTTGAACAAAGCCTCTGGTTAAGGGGGAAACCTGATTCTAATAGTTCTCTGAACATGCCCTTGGTATAGGATGACCAGTTGACAGGAGATAACTTGTAGAAAGAGAATCTTTAAAGCTACATTTTGTTCTACCCCAATCCCTCTTTCTCAATATCCAGTCAACAAGCAGTAAGCTTTATACTGTCTGCATCTTTCCTAGGATGACTCAAAATTTGGTGTCATCTGAGGGATAACGGAGAGAAGGGCAGTGGGCATGGTAGGCAGCAGTTCCCAAGATGATTGGAGAAGTAATAAAAGAGTAAAGAGATGTATGAGCAGAATAGCTAGTGGGGAAGGGAGAGAGCCAGGCATGACAAAACGGACAGCTAGTCTGATGGGCTACATTGGTACCCACCTAACGTCAAAGGCCTGGAACTGAAGAAAAGGTGTGGCTGGGTTGTGATCTGCACCTACATATCGAATGCCAGAAACCCTTCCCGGTTCCCCTCCATGCTAGCGCCTTCCCCTGGTAAAGTTGCCTCCAATTCATCATCTTGTATGTGCATAGTGATTTGCAAGTAGCCTCCCCACACTGGGCCATGAACTCCTGCAGGGCAGGGGCTGTTTTTGCCTCTCTTTATATCCTAAAGGATATACCACAAGGCTTGGCTTTTAATAAACGTTTGCAGACTTGACAAATCCATTAAAGGGCCCACGTGTACTTGTTTGGGCGCAGTGACTCTGTAACGTCGTAGGCCCTGCGCTGCAGGGAAAGCGCTCGGTTGACTTTGGTTGGTTGATTGAGGGCCCTCAGTAGGTCACGGTCGATTTTCGAGTCGCGCATGCTCAGTCTGGACAAGGAGCTGCGTATATACATTTAGAGGGAGGGGAAGTTGTTGGATAAACTTTCTCTGTGATGAATCCTGCGGGTCTTCGGTTCAAGAGAACCTGTGGCACGCACACGGGATAGGGAGATGAACAAAGACGAGAGAACTGCCATGCAGCTGCCACGTTAACTCTTGGGGTTGGGTAAGTTTTCTAGGAAGAGCTCACCGAGCATGAGCGGAAGTCACGCGTCATTTTTGTGACCTCTGTGACAAGCTACCGGCAAAATATCTTTTTCGTTTCTCTTTGTCGTTTCACTCACAGGCAAAGGGGCAAACACACATACATGTCGGTAAACGACAGGGCACTCGAACGAGTATCACGCTGTTCTATGGCGTTCTAGCTTCCCTTAGTAAAGATGATGGAGGCTGAGGAGACCAATAGGAAGAATGCTTCCGGGTCGCCGTGTGCCCTGATCTAAGATGGCGGACGAGGCCACCCGGCGTGTGGTGTCCCAGATCCCGGTGCTGAAAACGAACGCCGGGCCCCGGGATCGGGAGCTGTGGGTGCAACGACTCAAGGAGGAATATCAGGCACTGATCCGGGTTGGTAACGATTTCTCGGTCGTCTGGGTTGGGGGAGGGGGAAGGTGGAGAAATAGGTTCTTCGGGAATAGGCTCCGGGCGGAAGCTGCTTCCGGTTTTTCTTTTTTGGGCCCCCCTCTCCCCAGAACCCCAAGATGCTTGAAGGAAGAGTGGAAAAGAAAGTTTCCATCTTCCGAGCCACGGGCCTCGCGGACCCTGATCGTCACTGCCTTATGCGCAGAGCGTTAGTAGGGTGCCTGCAGGAACGTGACGTGTCCCTCCTGCGCAGCTGTGTGCCCCGGGGCCCCGGATGAAGCCTCCAGAAGGCCAACATCCGAGTTCTTGTGGGGGGGCTCAGCTCCCTAGGCTCCGTTTGTCCGCTTTTCTCCTGCTGGAAGACTAACTAGCTCCCGGGGAGTGCGGCAGCCTCGGGCAGGGAGCTCGCAGAGAGCACGGAGGGCGTGGAGGTGATGAGCCTTCGATGGAGAGATGCATCCCCTTGACTGCGTAGCCCTACCCTGGCCCTACTCTGCAGCTCCACACTTTGCTGCCCCATGGACGTTTTCACCCTAGAAGCCCGTGAAGGAGAAGGGCACTGACCATCTCAAACTGGACATGTCCAAAACAGAACTCGTTATCCTTCCCATTAAACTCACCCCTTCTCCGGGTTTTCCCATTTCCATTTGAGGGCACTGTCATTCCAGGTTCACAGGCTGGAAGTCTTCCTTGACTCTTCCTTCCCCCCTCCAGTTCTCTCAGTATTCAGTCACTTGTCAGTTCTACCAACATAGCTTAAATCTGCTCCCATTTCTTCATATACGCAGCTACTGTGGTTCAGAACCTTACTGAATCTTGTCTGGACTACTGTAACATCCTTCCAATTTCACTCTCAACTTTCAGTCCATACTCCACCCAGCTAGCCAGTTAATATTTCTAAAACGTACGTGCAGCCAAACCGTTTCCCTCCTCAAAATCTTCAATGATTTACTATTGCTCTAAGATAAAATACAGAGTTCTCAAGACTGGTTTTTAAAGCCCTCTTCAACTTCATGTTATTCCTTTCACACTACAATAATTAACAATACTAATTATAATGTTTTTGTAATAATATTTATATCATATGGTTATTATTTTATATGTTTATATAAATATGTTTGTTTGTTTTTAACTTTTAGGCAATTGGGGTTAAGTGACTTGCCCGGGGTCACACAGCTAGTAAGTGTCAGGTGTTTGGTCTGAGGCCGTGTTTGAACTCAGGTCCTCCTGACTGCAGGGCTGGTGCTCTGTCGGCTGCGCCACCTCGCTGCCCCTTATAAATATGTAACAATAACATTTTTATATAGTACCTACTATGTGCTGGACACTGCACTAAGCACTTCAGAAATAATATTCTTTTACTCCTCCCAGTAATCCTGGAAGACAAGTGCCGTTATCTCTGTTTTACAGTTTAGGAAACTGAGGCAGAATCTCTATTGAGTTAAATTGAAGCTAGGCCTTTCTCTAGTAGAACAGGAAGGTAGCCAGTGTTATGTTAAGTGACTTCTCCATGATCACACATGTTTTCCTGACTCAGGGCCTAGTCCTTCTTTCCCTTGGACCACTCCATGCTTTAGCCAAATTGTTTGACTTACTATATAGCTTTATCTCTGTGGCTTTGCACAGGCTTTCCCCGTTACTAAAAGCCACTCCTTCATCACCCCCACTTAGGCAGCTAGATGGTACAGTGGATAGAGTACCCACCCTGGAGTCAGGGGGACGTCAGTTCAGATCTGGACTAGGGCACTTGACACTTACTGGCTGTGTGACCCTGGGCAAGTCACTTAATCCCAATTGCCTCACCAAGGTGGGGGGAAAAAAAAGACTTAACTAATGTGCCCCTTCTAACTCAAGGTCTCTGATTAGTGTTGTTTTCCTCCTCAAAATATCTTGTAGTTATTTATCTGCATAAATAATGTAAAGACATCATTCCCAGTAAAGTAGAAGCTCCTTGAGGGCAGGAACTGTTTGATTTTTGTCTTTTTTATTCTCAGCAACTCAGTGTTTTACTCATGTCTCTTATTAAGTATCTGTTGGATTAAATTGAAGCTGGGCTCTTCACTAGTCAAACTGGAAGGTAGCCTGGTGTTGTGTAAAGATCATCAAACTGGAAATCAGGAAACCTGGTTTCTAATCTCTGCTGTGTTTCTATACAGCTGTGTGGCTTCACCTTTCAGGGCCTTAATTTTGCAATAGCTTGCCGGTGGGTCTGCCTGCCACAAGTCTGTCCCCACTCCAGTCATCCCTACACTCAGTTATCAAAGTGATCTTCCTAAAGTGCAGGTCTGATTCTTGTCACTACTCGACCCCTCCCTTTACTTCCACTCAATCAACTCCAGTGATTCTCTGTCACTTACAGGATCAAATATAAAATCCTCTATTTGGCATTCAAAGCCCTTTATGACCTGCTCTCCCCCTCTCCAGTCTTCTTGTACCTTACATCCCTCCACATACTCCTTAGTTAAATGACAGCAGCCTCCTTGTGGTTCTTCAGACAAAACACTCCACTTCCTGAATGGGCATTTTCAAACCAGCTGTTTCCCTTGCATGTAATGCTATCCCTTCTTATCTTCACCCCCTGGCTTCCTTCAAACTCTAGCTAAAATTCCTCCTTCTACAGGAAACCTTTCCCAATTGTTCTTAATTTTAATGTCTTCCCTCTGTTGATTATGTTCAATTGATCCTGTATATGATTTGTCTTTACTTAATTATTTTACCTGTTGTCTCCCCTGTTAGTTTGTAGACTTCTTGAGAGCAGGAACTATATTTTACTTTTTTTTGTATCCCTAATACTTAGCATGGTGCCTAACACATAGTAGGCCCTTAATGTTAGGTTTCATGGAAAGAGCCTTTTGTTATGAGAAATCTGAAAGGGTTGTGTTTTTTTGCTTTTTGGCTAGGCAGTGGGGTTAAGTGACTTGCTTAGAGTCAAACAGCTAGTAAGTGTCAAGTATCTGAGGCCGGATTTGAACTCAGGTCCTCCTGACTCGAGGCCTGGTGCCCTATGCACCTAGCTGCCTCTAAATCTGAAAGGTTTAAAGAGATGGAGATATCACTAAATTCTTTCCCCACCTTCCCCTCCAGCTCTCCAGATGAAATTTTCTGTTACAGTGAGAATGTGGAATAGAAATTCAGTAGAACCCTTGTGTTGTACTTAGGCATATGACTGGGGGAGGTGTCAAGGTGGCCCAGGAAAGCTAAGTTTAAATCCTAACATTACCACTTAATAGTTACTTTACCTCAGGCACATCACCTAATTTCCCCTATCTTCAGTTTTCTCATTTTGTGAAAAAAAAAATTATAAAACTTGGATTACTTGCTTCACGCAGTTGCCAGGAAAGTGCTTTGCAAAGTTTGTAGTGTACTAAATATCTATCAGTCATTTGCAGAGCCAAATCTTCCTGCTGATACTTGTCTGGGTGTATTGAAGTATGGCTTGGTTTCTTCAAAGGGATATCTGCTTTGCCCTACAAGGAGCATCTCTTTGTTAGTACATAGCCAGGGCAAGGGAGAGAATAGCTCAAATTTTTTAGTACTTTTTGAACATTTTCTCATTTATTCCTCCAAAAGAAGCAGTGCAAATATTATTATCCCCATTGCACAAGTATGGAGTTTGGGAATCAGAAGATTGTATGACTTGTTCATGGTCACAGATCCCCAGTGATCTGCTCTATCTCATGGAAAACAAACCCACATCTGTCTGGGACCTCAGCCTTTGGCGTGGTCAAGGTGACCTAGGTCAAGGCCCGAGGGATTGTTAGGTTATTCTGAGAGACCATGTGGCCACATTTCTCCATGGTGAGAAGAGAATTCTCTTCCCTCTGAACTGCCTCAGTGTTTTTAAGTTTCCCATCACTGGAGATTTTCAAGTGAAGTCTTTATGACTACTTATTGGTAATTTTATAAATATCCCAACAGGGTATGGGTTGGACTAGATGATCTTTGAAGTGCCTTCCAGCTTTTAAGTCTCTGATCTTATGCTTCCTCTGTACCTTTAGTACGTGGAGAATAACAAGAATGCTGACAATGACTGGTTTCGACTGGAGTCCAACAAGGAAGGGACCAGGTAGGCATGGCCTCTGGGGAGGGGTGGGGCAAAGGTGCTTGAGTGGGTAGGATTAGGGGTCTGGCACCGCAAATCTCACATGTAGGGCTGCTTCCCCTTTTCCTCTTTCCCAGTCAACCTAGTGCTTGGTAATGCTTCAAACATAGCTCCCAGGTTTCCATTTTCTCCCAGTTGTTACCCCACAATGGTCTTTCCAGGCCTATAACCCAAGCTAAAGAGTCTGTGTGGTATGAGTAGAAAAGAGGGGATTAGAAGTGGGTCTGAAATCTTGGAATTTATTACAGATGGTTTGGAAAATGCTGGTACATCCATGACCTACTTAAGTATGAGTTTGACCTCGAGTTTGATGTGAGTGTGGTGGGATAGAAAATATGGTGGTGGGGGAAATAGGGGAACTCTCAACATGCAAATTAGCCTCTTGGGCTAAGGAAAACTATGAGAATGAAGGGATGAAACTGGGATTGAGGAGATAAGGATACTTTGGGGAAAACATTGCTAACCAACAGCCACCTCCATGGCTGGGGTTATAGAACCCTGCATGGGGAAGTTCATGACTCTTTTATTCTTCTAGATCCCGATTACATATCCCTCTACTGCACCAGAGATTGCTGTCCCTGAACTGGATGGAAAGACGGCAAAGATGTATAGGTTGGGACTGAATTGGAGATGAGAAAATGTTGGGACAAGGGGAACTCATGTCAGAGGGGTTTTTCACCTACCCTTTTCGGATAATGGGATGGGGGATGTTGATTGGCCCTTATCTTGGCTTGAATTGCCAGGCAGGGGAGGGACATTTCTCTCCATTTCCTTTCCTGTTGCTGTTATACCCTGTAGTTGGGGAACCTCAAGTCTTCTCACTTTCCTTCTCTCTCCCTCAGGGGTGGCAAAATATGCCTAACTGAACATTTCAAACCCTTGTGGGCTAGGAATGTACCAAAGTTTGGGCTGGCTCATCTCATGGCTCTAGGGGTAAGTGTGGTGGTATATGGTGAGATATCTATAGATAGCATATATAAAAATAAATATCAGAGGAAATGGCCAGAGATGGTGTAAGAAAGATAGCTGAGAGTTACAAAGGGTTGGAAATGTTTCTGGATTCTTCCAAAGAATCTCTCAATTTTTATTGGGTCAAAGTATGCTGTGAAATTTCTATGGATTCCTTATTTTGTAGTTGGGCCCTTGGCTGGCAGTAGAGATCCCAGACCTGATCCAGAAGGGGATGATCCACCATAAAGAAAAGTAATGTCTCTGTCTGAACTTCTGACGTGCTCGGCTCCTGCCTCCTTCAGCCATCACCACCTTCATCCACCCAGCTGATACAGTGGGTCTTCTCTGCCTTTTGCCTTGAAGTTGCAGTGACTGGGCCTCTGGGTTGCATTGCTACAAATAAGCTTTGCTCCTACTCAGTCTGGTATCATTTGGGGACAGGGCTGAAAGTAGCTGGCAGACATTGGGACCATGATTCCACCACTTCCCCACTATTTGGAAAAGTATCAGTATCCTGAAGAAATGCAACATGAAAAGTTGTGTCACCTCCTCTGCTTGAGGCAGTAGTTAAGCCCTCCTTGAATAAAAGCTGCTTTCCCTGGCTCCTGTGTCTCATTCATTTTTGCTTGAGGAAGAGGGAGGGAAGAGGTATTAGCCATTTACAACTGGGAGTGGACTTGAAGTGGGCAAGTTGCAGTAGCTGCCTCTGACCTAGAAGATAAAAAACAACTTTTTCAGCCTGGCATTTAAAATCCTTCACTCTCCAAAACTACTTCAGTCTTACTCAATACTGCTTCTTTTCTCATATTTTACATTCCAGGCACAATAGACTATTAGCTGTCCAGGATCATTCTGCTTTTTGCCTCTACATGTGTGCAAGCCTTCCTCCATGCCTAAAATGCATTCCTGTCTCTGTTAAAATCCTTCTGTAGAGAAACTTCAAGATTCAATATCTGACAGAGAAAAAGGACCCAAAAGCACAAAAATATAGCTTTTTTGTGGTGTCAAACAACTGGAAACTAAGAAAGTGACCATCAGTTGGGAAATGGTATACATATGTAATGGAATACCGTTGTGCTACATAAAGGGGATGGTTTCCGAGAAACCCAGGACATGAAGGAACTGATGGAGAGTGAACAGAACAGTGACAACAACATTGTAAATACAACTTTGAAAGACTTAAGAACTCTGATCAATACAGTGACCAACCAGAGGACTCATGAGTGATGAAGCATCCTGACACAGAGTTTATAGACTTAGAATACAAATTGAAACATTTTTTGGACTTTGGCAATGGGAGAATTTGTTTCCTTGATTAAGCATAGTTACAAGGGTATTTTTCCTTTTTCCTCAAGATAGAGGAAGGGGGAGGAAGAGAGGATAGAGATAGTGTTTTTGTTACTTGACAAAAATAAAGTTGGGGTTCACCTCAGGTGCTGTTGTCTTTATAAAGCCTCCTTGATGCCCCAGCTGAAAGTATCAGCTTCGAATTATAGAAATCATGTAAAACTAATAAGCTTTTACAAGAACAAAATCAGTGCCACTATAACAAAAGGGAGGCTGTCAAATATGCCTGATTAAGGTCATATCTAAAGAGCTAGGCAACATGTACACATGAGAATGACTTTCTAAATAGACAAATAATCAAAGAACATGAACAAGCAATTAAAAATACACATTTTATTGATGCCTTTTGTCCTTATATCACAACATTTCATCTCCAATTCAAACCCTCTCCTTTTAGACAAATGCTTAAGCAAAAATAATGATTGCAGCTGATACTGTACACCATGTAATGTCCTGGTAGACCCCTGCTTTTCTGGGGTGAGAGGGTGGCATGTTTTATTTTATGCTTTTCTCTGGAACCTTCATTGATTTTTCAGTTACTCAGAACGGACAGGCAGAAGAAATACCATTAAAAACCATTTGATAGTGTTCCAAATCACTAAAGAGAAATCCCAATAAAACTAAGGCTTCATTTCATATCTATCATATTGGCAAAGATGACAAGTGGTGAAAATGGTAAATGTAGCTATTGCTGTGGTGATGCAAACACTCCAGTACAAGAGTTCTGGAAAGCAAGTTGAAACTATACTAGAAAGTCAACAGATATGTTTCCTCTTTCTGATGATTCCTCCTATTGGTTTTAATTTTTACTTATAACAGCACTAATGTGAAAATATGTTTTATGGGAATGTAAATGTACAACCTATATCAGATTGTGCGCTGTCTTGGGGAGAGTGATGGGGAGGAATGGGGAGAAAAATTTTAAACTCAAAAGCATATGGAAGTGGTTATTGATAAAACAAAATAAATTAATAAAATAAAAAAAAAGAGAAAAGTTAACAGAGTGTAAATACCCTTTGGCCCAGCCATCTCATTGCTAGGCATACTACCCTAAGGAGATCAAAGACTGAGGGAAAAATCCTATGTGGACAAAAAACATTTATAGTGGTTCTGAAAAATTGGAGACAAAGCAGATGCCTATTAGGAAAAGGCTGAAGAAAATGAAACTTGGGAAGATGTGTACGAAGCAATGCAAATCATCCAGAACCAAGGGAACAGCCTTCTAGATAACAAGGAAATATCTCTGCTCAATGTAGTTGCCAATCCTGACTTTGAATGACCCTTCTCAGAGGTGGTAGATGCCGAATGAGGCAGGAGTATACTTACATGGTCAATATGTTGGTTCCTTCTGGGTACCTACACAGGTCTCTGTTACAGACCTAGGGGGTCTGGGTTTAAGGTGGGGTGCTGTCAGAAAGGAACTGGGGAGTAAAAAGCTTCAGTAAAAATAATTGGCCTAGAACACTCTGAATCCCTCTTCTGCCCCTAATTCAACCCTTCTTTGCATTTTCCAGTCACTTGCATCTCTGATTTCCTACCCTCAACAAAACGTTAGCTTCTTGGTCATTCATTTTTCATCATTGCATCCTGGGGAGAGCAGGATTTTGCACACTGGTAGGAACTTCATAACTAAGTGAATGAACGAATGCGCTTAGGCTGTAGGACTGGCCCCTGCTGCACCTCTAAGAGAAGCCTCGTCCACGCCAGGCTGGGGTTTGCTCAGGTTGGCTGGCTCTGGGTTAGTATCAAGTCAGAGCTGTCATAACCTTGGAGATGGCAGATTGAATAACATTAGACCTGGGGGAGAAGGCCCGCCCCTTCCTAGTGACTGACAGCTTCCCCTACCCAAGCCTGGCAGCCTGCAGTTCCCTGTCAGTCAGAGAACCTGGGCCCGGTGGCCCAGCAGAATGACGCGGGAGATGTCGCCCGGCCAAGGCCTTTGGAGACGTCCAGCTCTGGGCTCAACTACTACAGTTGGCTGCGTTTCCATGGCACCCACCGCGGGACGCAAGGGGCGGGGCGACGCCAGTGCCGCGAAGGAGGCGGTCCGAGCGAATGCTGCGCTGCGCAGGCGCTCTCGTTCCGGGTGAAGCTCGGGCCCGAGCGCCGGGCGGGAGGAACAAAGATGGCGGTGGCGCCTGCGGCGGGAGCGGCCTCGGCGGCGGCAGGGCCAGCAGCCGGGCCCGCTGGGGAGGTTCTCTGGGGCAGGAGGGGGTGGCCCTGAACTGGGGCCCGGGCCCGCCTGGCCCTCTGCCGCCTCGCTGGGGACAGGTACAGGCTGAAGGGCCACGGTGGTGGGGGGGCGATGCTATCCTCCTGCCGCTGCAGCGCCGTCGGGGACTGGGGGTACGGACCCGTGTGCTGGCGGCGTCGGGGGAGGGCCGCGTTTGCAGTTGCTGAGCTGGGGGCGGGACGCCGCCGCTGAAGTGGGAGGATGGCCGGCGGCCTGTCCGCCGCGGCCTGGGAGCCTCCCGCACCCGCAGCCAATCAGCGGCGACTACATCCCTGGCCCTCGGCCGAGGCACCTGGGGGAAGGGGGAGCACTTCGCGAGGGAGGGGACGCGGGCCGACCCGGGCCCGGGCGGGAGGTCCGATAGACGGGGCTGAGCGTGGGGTGGGCTCCTCGGGCTTTACTGCGGTGCTGCGAGGTAGCCTTCCGCTCGCTTTGCACGGGCCTTGGAACCCAGAGGGGCGAGTCCCCCGCCAGGGGTAGGACCCTAGCCTCCCGCACAGCCTGGGGGCTCATGGCTGTGTAGCCCTGGGTGCTTAGCCAAGGGTGCCGACTAGAGTGCGGGCAGTGAATGGGATGAGGAGCTGGAGCTGGAGCGAGGATGCCCAGCCATCAACCCAGCCTCCCAGAGGACAGCCCAAATGTGGATGGGCACCGCCCCCGAGGGGGGCTTGGAGCTGACCCTTTCCTCTCCTCCCAGGGCCTGCCCCGGGTCTCCAATATGCCCCAGGCTTCGGAGCACCGACTGGGCCGGGCCCGTGAACAGCCCATCAGTGTCCAGCCCCGGGTGGGAGCCAAGGTACCCATCAGCTCCAGGGCCAGGAGCAAGGAGCGCCGAAGCCCAGCACCTGCGCCTAACCCCGTGCTAAGGCCTCTGCCCCCTCGGCCCGGACCCCCTGAGGAAAGGTTCAAGAAGCTGGAGCTGGGGCGGGGGAGAAACTCAGCCCCTCGTCCTAGGGGCCCTCTCCGAGCTGATCATGGAGTGCCCCTGCCAGGCTCACCACCTCCCACTGTGGCACTGCCTCTGCCGTCCCGTACTAACCTGGCTCGGTCCAAGTCTGTGAGCAGTGGGGACTTGCGGCCAGTAGGGGCTTTAGGTGGACATCGAGGCTGCGGGGAGCTTGGAGCTGCACTGAGCCGCCTGACTCTCCGGCCTGAGCCCCCAGTGCTGAGACGCAGCACCTCTCTTCGTCGACTTGGTGGCTTCGCTGGTCCCCCTACCCTGATAACCATTCAGTCAGAGCCCCCTCCCACCCACGGCCCCTTTCTCACGTCTGCTCGGCCCCTGGAGTCTGTCCACCCTGATGACAAGATGGTGAGGACTGTTTTATATAGATCAGTCTCCAAATCTGAGCTCCCTCATACCCTTGGGCTTCTGACTTGGTTAGGTTTCCTGTCCTTGCCTCTTTCTCAGTCTCTTCTCCACCCCTTCATCATTCTTGTTGTCATATGTAGGCAGTGCTAACTAGTATAGCCCCCTTCTAGTCTCCCTTTCCCTTCCTGGGCTCTTGAGACCCTTTTCTGAGACACCTGAGGCCCTTCAGAATCTCCTGCCATATGGTCCTGCATCAGCCCCTGGGGATTCACTTTAGCTATTTGGGATTCTTCTTTAAGTCTCTATGCCCTTCATTCCCCAATGACCTCCCCTTTCCACCCCCCCCCATCTCTTGGTTTGTGGCTAATTAATCTCTTGGGTTAAGGTGGGGCTAGGAATATCTGAGGGAGCATGGGATAGCTGAGTAAGCTATTGCTGTGCTAGCTGAACTAAGCATAGTTGGGGCCAGCAAGGGAATCTGCCACGGGGGCAGGAGGGGGTCACAGAGGCAGGAGGGTGGAGGCTGGGGGTAACTGGGGAGTCATGCCAGTGCTAGGGGAACTGCCCCGGGAACTGCAGCGCCGACTGGCTGGGCAGAACCGGAATGGGCTAGGAGGTGGGACAGCAATGGCAGAGTCAGTGATGCACACAGCTGTGCTGGGGATACTACTCATGGCCAGTGAGGTAGGGGGACAAAGGGACCTGTGGAGGGATTGGATATAAGTCAGAGGATAGGAAAAAGGGACCCAGAGAGTCAGCTCTCTTGGAAGGGGAAGACACAGGTTGGGGATTTTGTTGTGGTGTCTGGGAGCCCTCAGCTTATCATTGTGGCCTTTTCCTAGGCTCATCACACACTGCTCTTGGGGTCTGGCCATGTTGGTCTCCGGAACCTGGGTAATACGGTGAGTGCTCCTCAATCCCTGGCAACAAGAAAAAGGGGAGGGAAGTGACAAAACTCATGACCTGAGATGAGGCAGAGCAATGTGCTTGCTCTGTCTGGGTGTGGGCCTGAATGGAGAACTCTGTGTGTTCTACAGTGCTTCCTGAATGCCGTGTTACAGTGTTTGAGCAGCACAAGGCCACTTCGGGACTTTTGTCTTCGGAGAGACTTTCGGCAAGAGGTGCCTGGTGGGGGCCGTGCCCATCAAGAACTTACTGAAGGTAGGAAAACATGCCTGATCCATTCTTTGTAGCCTCATTATTTTCCTTATTGTTAGCATGTAGTAATATACTTTATATTATTATTTTATATGTGATTAATATAATTAGCATTTTGTATCTGTGTGATGCTTAACAGTTTTTAAAATTTTGTTCACATCTGTTAATCTCATTTGATTCTCACAATATTCCTGTGAGGTAGGTAGAGCAGGTATTATCCCCATTTTACAGATGAGGAAACTGAGGCTCAAAGAGATTAATGACTTTCTCAAGATTACCCAGCTAGTAAGTGGCCGAAACAGCATTAGAATATAGGTCTTATCATTCCTAGTCCAGTGGTCCCTCTGCTCATTCCACCCCAAATTCTCCAACTTTTGAAAACTACCCTTGATACCACTGCCACCTCCATCAACAAATACATCTGATACAAATGTATCTGCCCTCTCCATAATGTCCATTAATCCCAAAGAGACAACTTCTTTCCTCCAGTGCCCCTTTTCCACCTCCCTCTTCAGTGGTTCACCTTTGTCCATCATCCCATAACAGCCTTTGCAGATGTGCTGGGAGCTCTGTGGCACCCTGACTCCTGTGAAGCTGTGAACCCTACACGTTTCCGCACTGTCTTCCAGAAATATGTCCCTTCCTTCTCCGGATACAGGTGGGGGTCTGGTAGGAGGAAGAACTTCCCTCTGGCCAGGTTGGTGAGGGGTAGGGGTGGGACAGGGCAGGCAACCCTAAGCAGAGGTAAGATAGGAGGATTCTTAAAATGTCACTCATGAAACTATAGATAATCCTTATTCTTGTGTGGGATGCTGTCTGGGAAAGGGGGACAGGGAGGACAGGAGTCAGTGTCCACCAGTCACTGTTTGGCTATAGCCAGCAGGATGCCCAGGAGTTCCTGAAGCTCCTCATGGAGCGGCTACATCTAGAGATCAACCGGAGGGGCCGCCGGGCCCCACCCATCTTGGCTGATACCCCAGCCCCCTCTCTACCCCGGCGGGGGCCTCCTTGAAGAGCCTGAGCTGAGGTAAGGGGAGAGCCTTCTTTCTTTTCCTGATCCCCCTTCCTTATTTATAAATCTATTAGTTTACCCATATTTTCTGTATATAAGCTCATTAGGCTTAGGAATGCAGGGTTAGAAGTGACCCTTTCTGGGGCGAGGGGGAGGCAGAGATGCAGCAATGATTTGGGAAAAAGGGGGCAGGGATAGAATGAAGTGGGGAGAAGATGAATGTTACAGAAAGGGATTGAGGGGAAAATAGGGAGTTGGCCTAGCTGAAGCTTTTAGGGAAAGGGAGCAGACTTAGCATGGCAGAAGGGGCAGAAGAGGACTCCCACACATGAGAAGTGGGGTAAAAGAAATGAGACGCAGAAGAAAAGCCTTCTCTCTCTCTCTTTGTGTGTTCATGTCTTTATCTTTGTTTCATCTTCCTTGACCTATGAGACGTTCCGTAATGCCCTTACCTCCTACAAGGTTAGTGAAGGAGCGAGGAGGGAGAAAAGAGCACCAGGCTCACTTGGGGGCACTTAAGAATGGGGCCTCTTCTAGTGAGAGAGAGGGCAGCCTGAGGCTGGTACCCTGTCTTCCTGGGGCCTCAGGGCTGCTTTCCATGCTCTGTGACAGTGATGATGAGCGAGCCAATCTAATGTGGAAACGATACTTGGATCGAGAAGACAGCAAAATCGTGGGTATGAAGGCAGTGTGAATAGGAAAACATAATAGAGATGAGGTGGAGAAATGGGAAAGTGGGACTGGGAAGACTGAAATATACCATAGAGGGGAGGAAAATATGAGCAGTGTGTGTGTGAAGGAGGGTGTGTGTGAAGATTAGCAATAGAAATGGGGACAGGGCATTTTGTACAGGTGGGACAGGGCTTCAGGGCTAAAACTCATCTCCCCGAGACCTTTTGTTTTCTAGACCTGTTTGTTGGCCAGTTGAAAAGTTGCCTCAAGTGCCAGGCCTGTGGGTATCGCTCCACGACCTTTGAGGTTTTTTGTGACCTGTCCCTGCCTATCCCCAAGGTGAGGGTTTAGGGGGATTTAGGGGATGAATAGACAAAGGGACTGTGACCTCATGGAGCCTATTCCTAGCCTGCCATCTTGGGTTTTCATTGGTTTTTTTTTTTCTATCATCTGTATTAGTGATGAGTAAATATCTATCTGTCTTTGCAACTGTAGCACTATGCACTTTTAACTATATATCCTTGGACCTTACTAAACTTATTCCTCTAGGTTTGGGAGTGAGGGGGTTGGCCCCCTAGGGGAGGGTACCTGAAAGGGATGTG